CTTTCCTTTGCTTCTAATCCTCAGTCATTTCACCTTTTTCTATTTTTTTCTCTGCAGTTTCTGAACTGCTCTTTATTTCATGAACTCCTCTAATTGTATTATATTTCTATTCTTCAATTCCACTTCTCTTCACAAATTCATTTCACTTGTTGTTAACATATTGCGTAACTATTTAAATATGAAATATGCTCCTACCTATATATGTCTTAATATTTTCTTTGGAGAAAGATCATCAAAGATCATGATTATAGTAGTAGCATTCTCCAATTTTTGTCATGCATCACCTCTCACTGCCTGCTAGTAGTCACCCTCTTCCACTGAAATATTTTATCTGTTCTTGACAATCTTCATTTTTTCCTTTGCTGTCCTGTAGTCTACCTCTGCAGCCTTTTTTAAGAAGTCCTCTTTTCTTTGTTCTGTATCTTATCTGTCATTGTCTCCCATTTTGTGTTCAGGACTCCTTAAGTCCCTTTTCATTAAAGCTCATGTATTACCACCATTCAGATGTTAAAAGTATTTCAGACTTCCTCCAGCAGAACAAAAATATACCATATATGACCGTATTTCGTACCCCTTGCCTATGGTAGGCAGTGCTTTTGCAAGATATCACACTGAAAGAATAATCTGACTTTACTCCTCAGCGGGACCAATAGATTCATAGTGGGGAGTGTAAGACATCTGAGACAGCACTAATACCTTTTCTTCATGTTTCTTTCAGTACCTAACAAATTATCACAGCTCAGAAAATTGTAATCACTGTAGTGATGACATGTTACAGAAGTATAAATACAAAGGAGTTTACCTTTTCAAAATATGTTTGATGCAAAGGAATAATTGGTACTAAGAGCTGTGGAAGTGTTTGTCTGCAAAGCTTTTAATCCCTAAAAACCTGAAAATAAAAGCTATCAGGCAACCAAGTACAGGGAGAAGCCATTTGTCTATAATATTTATGTGAATTTCACTCAGAGTTTCTTGATGCTCAAACGTTGAGCAATATCCAGTAAAAGCAACAGAAGCCCAACTGGGTGAGGAATAAATAAAAGAGACAGCTATCTGCAAGTTGATTCATGGAGAGAATCCCCCCAATTATTCTGTATTTGTAAGTAGGTATTGTAAATAAAATGTTTAGGCTAAGCTTTTTCTTACTGCATTCTCCTCATCTGCCTTAATATTGACCAACAGTTGTCTCTCAGTCTACTTCATGTAAGACATTAAGAGGTTTTTCCAGTTTACTTGGTGGTTTTGGGATATGGCTATATATCCTACAGAAAATCAAGGTCATTAAAGATCCAGTTCACAAATGTGGCCTCAGATCAGTTTTTGTCAAAGTTTCAGTAGTTGATAAGCTAGTTTAATATCATGTTCCTAGGAAATGGTTATTGAATGTATTAAGAATTTAGTTAATAACTTGCAATTTGCTTAGTGGGAAAAAGTCCGAGGTGAAAAAATGAGTGACAACTGAAGAACCGTCCTGTGAACAGTTGACTGAATTCTGGACATGTACCAGGCATCAGAAGAAAAAATGCATAGTATTAACTGGTGAAATTGACTGTGAACAGGATATAAGTATTACTATTCAAAATTACTAGACTTTCTGAGTCATGTTCTGATAAATGCATGTTGAACAAATGCAAGAGTAAGTCTTCATAACAAATTATGTGTGATGAAAGCAAATCGAAATACTGAATCATAAGATTAGACTTTTTTATAACATTAGTAATTGTCTGTTACTAATGTCCATGAAACAGACATCTTTGCATGTCATTTACACATATATTTTTGATAATTAACAGATTGAGTGCCTTTGCTGGATTGAATTTGAATCTATTACAGAAGTCAAAAACATGTTCAGAAATGTCATATGTACATTCTACCAGTGGAAGTTCTTACTTGCACAGAAAAGTTGGAGCATTTTTAAGTTGAAAATGTAATTAAAATATAAATAAAGCAATAATATTTTAAAGGAGAAAACATAAATCATTGCTGAAAGGATTGTGAGGCATCAAAGATAACATCAAGGCCTAATCAAAATTCAGATTTTTTTTTGTAATGTAATGTAATTAGGTATTCTGGTAGGACTACCTGTATGAACAAGATGTAATGAAAATAGTATAAATGCATATTACTATTGCTGTCTATATCCACCAAGTGAAATAGTTTAGCCAAACTCAAATCAAGATAAAGTTAGATTTGGAAATATATTTATTATAAACTGCCATTTTGTCTCATCTTTGCTTGTATAGATTGAAATACTTGATACAAGTAGATGCTTTTTTCATTTGCAAACTGTTATATGTATCAGACAGTATCGTTTCAGTCTCTTTGCATAGAAGTTTAGTAGTATTACACTCCAACTGGTGTCTCTGCATGATTTGCCCTGATTTGCAGAGCTGATCTGGAAAAAAAAGCTTTCTCTAATGAAAAAATGCAGGCTTAAACCCTTGGATTCTGCAT